CTGCTCAACTGGGGCAGGGAGGGTGTGTTTCTCTGGGGGGAGGGAGGAACACGGGATGCAGGCATGGCAGCAGTGAAAGCAGGAGCTCTGCCCTGCTGCTGCCTGGCCCCGCCCGCCGTGGGGGGGGGAGAGGGAGCAAGCAGCAGCAGGACAGAGCCCCCACTCCCAGCACTGTCACATCCGCATCCTGCATCCCCCACACTGGCTGGCAAGTGGCAGCAGGGCAGAGCCCCCACTCCCAGCGCTGATGGTAGCTCTGGAAGTGGGTGCTATACCCTGCTGCCACCCGGATCAAGCTGCGCCTGCATTACATGCCGCCCCATGCTGGCTGGGCAAGCAGCAGCAGGGAAGAGCCCCTGTGGCTCCCCCTGCCAGGGAGAGCCAGGCACACCCAAAGGAGCTCCAGGAGAAGACTCCATGGCTGCCCTGCCTGGCCTCATCCCACGCCCCACCGTGCAGCTCAGGGCAGTGGGGATTTCCCCCGCCTGGCACCGCATGCTGTCTGGGAGCTGGGGCCACTGGGGCTGTGCTGCTGGGCTCTGGCTGACATGTGGAGCCACCCCAGCTCCCAGGCGAATGGAATTGGGGGCTGGGGAATTAAATCGGCTCAATTTCCCAGCCCCTGGCTTGATTTCCCAGCCCCCGGCTCAATTTCCCAGCTCCCAGTTCAACTCACCTGGGAGCTGGGGCATCTCCACGCGTTAGCTGGAGCCCAACAGCACTCAGCCCCAGTGGCCCAGCTCTCAGACAGCACCCGGAGCCCTGCCAAGTTGTGCTGCACCCATGCCATGGGGCAGCTGCTGCGCAGTTTCCAGGTGGGGGGGCAATCCTTGCTGCCCCACGCTAAACTGGGGGGCTCTGTCACCAGCACCCAGAGGCCCCCCTCACCTGGCACCCATGCTGCAGCTAGTTCATGAGGGGCTTTTTTATTTATTTATTTTTTTTAAAGTACTGGGAGGCTGGGCCGGGTGAGGGATGGGTCCGGCAGGGCACCCATAGGGACTTCTCCTGAGGCTCCCCCCCTCTGGGAAAAGGCAGGCACAGCCAGAGGAGCTGTGGGAGAACCTGCAGCTGCCTGGCTGTGCCTGCCTCTCCCCAGCCGATCTGAATTACCAAATCTCTCCTAATCAGTGCCGAATCTTCCGAAGCTGATTTGGCCAAATTGATTCAGGACAGAGATCCAAATTGAATGACTGTCCTCCAAATTGGCTGAATCCAAATCCCAATTGAATACTTCCCTATTCGCACAGGCCTATTGCTTAGACTTCTGCCCCACTGTGTACTGTAGCATTGCTCCTCACCTTCCTCTGACTGAATACATGCTACTAGGTAATACAATAGAGAGAATATCTGATCACATAGCATAATGTGTATCACAATAGACTGCTAAACTGGACACAAGAACAACAGAATCCCCATCTCCTGATCTTCAGGTCTCACAGTTCTCCAGCCTATTGATGGAGCTCTGAAACAGTGTTCTTTGGGACTTAAGTTCACTGTCAGTCAATATGAACCATAGGATCATAGGAAAGTAGGGCTGGAAGGGACCTCATAAGTTCATCTTGTCCAGCCCCCTGCTTATGGCAGGGAATCCCTGACTAAACCATCCCAGCCACGTGTCTGTGTAATCTGCTCTTGAAATCTTCCAAAGATGGAGTTTTGAAAATTTCTCTAGGTAGCACGTTCCAGTGTTTCACCACATTCATGGTCAGAAACTCCCTTCTAAACTCCAACCTAAGTTTCCCCTGCAGTAGCTTGAGGCCATCACTCCTAGTCTTGTTCCCTATGGCCAGAGAGAAAAGCCCATCTCCATTCTTTCTGCAGTCACCCTTCAGGCATTTGATGACTGCTATCAAATCCCCTCATTCTTATCTTCTCCAGGCTAAATAACCCCAGTTCTTTCAGCTTTTCTTTGCAAGTCTGCCCCCATCGCCTCCAGCCCAGAATCCATTTGTTGCTCTCTGCTGGACTCTTTCTAATCTATCCACACCCTTCTTGAAATGTGGGGTCCAAAACTGGACACAGTACTCAAGGTAAGGCTTAACCAGTGTGGAATACAGCAGAAGAATCTCTTTCCTTGATTTGCAGCAAATCACTGATGGGGAGGTTTTTTGCAATAAAAGCACATTGTTAGATCATATTCAGCTTATGGTATACTGTAACTTCCAGGTCCCTCTCTGCAGTACTGCAACCTAGCCAGTCCTTCCTCACAGGCCAATGGGATTTGGGTTTCATCTGTTATTTCTTGTTGGGGTCCTAACAAGCCTCCAAGTTCAAGTGAATTGCAAAGTAAATCTTTATAGATGAGTCCAAATCCAGCATCCACAGGTTCATCCAAAGATAGGCATTTGTGATCTCCTTCTGCCAACATGAATTCACTTACTCCACGGGCTTCCTGCTAATGTGAATTCTATGGCCTGGTTTAAACTGGCTGAAGTATTAGAAAACCAGTAGTTAGCTGCTGTACTTTCCTGGGGAAGTGCTAATTTTTCCTCTTGTCCAAATTTGAAGACTGCCTAGTAATAAGGTCAAACACGCTCTTAAATTACTAGGGTTTGAACATGTTTGACACTTAAACATCCCCCCAAAAAGTCACAGAACTTTGAACTAAACAGGACCTTGTGAGCATCTAAACCAGCCACCTGCGATAAGGTAGAATCAAGTATCCCTATTTCCAACAGATGTTTGTCTAACCCATTCTTAGCCTCCTAATGAAGGAGATTCACAATTCTACAGATAGCTTGCCCCAGTGTTTCACCACTCTAATTGTTAGAAAGGTTATCTTCTTAAAATCCAGTCTTAATCTTCCTTGATGCCAACTAACTTGGCTTCTTCTCATCCTTTCCCTGAGTTGGTCTAGAGAAACACCAGGTTTGGAGGAAGCCCAGGTGAAGTACTGCAAGAAAAGCCCTGAGCTAGGAGGAATCCAGGTAGGACTTGGTGGGCCAGCTAGCCACTCTCCTCTTGGTAACAGTCTCTTAAGTTTTGCAGGACTGTTATAAAAAACTTCTCACTTCTCTTTTCTAAAGAAAATAAACTCAGTTCCTTAGCCTTTCCCGAGAGGTGAGGTTTTTGAAACCTGCTTTTATAATTTTTCCTACTTTCCTCAGAACTCTCTCCAATCCACTTACAACTTCTTTAAAAGTACACTGTCCCAAACTGGGAACCATACTTCAGCTGAGGCCTCAGGAGCTCAGTGCAGGATGGAACAGTTACCTCATGTCATTCCTATATGCCAGAATAAGATCATATTGTTGGCACATGCTTAGTTTATGCGGTCTATGAAACCCTACTCAGAGTGCCCCATTTTGACAGCAAAGGATTCAGATTAATTCATTTTTTTCATGTGGGCTGTGGATTTCACTCTACCCCAGCTCTGGACCACACTGTCACCGCAAGTTCCAAGTCCTGGCCCAGAGCAGCTCTCCACCCAGCTGCACACCCTGCCAGTGCTGCTGGGGTTGGTCTCCATGGAAATCTTGGCCCTGTTCTATCACAGTGCATCTGGTTTCTCTATGGAAACCAGCTGCAGTGATGCAGGCAGAGGGGCTGCTAGGAAATGAAGTCCATCTGGGCCTGATCTGGCCCATGAGCCGGACTTTGCCTGCCCCCTGAGCAACAGTCTAAGTTGCTGAAACTGAGGGAGGAATTCCAGGAGCAGGGTCTAAGTTACAGGCCAAGTCATGGTTCTAGTCAGAGAGAACAAATTACCAAATCCAAGGGGGAAAAACCCAGGGACAGAGCCCATATCACAGGCTGAATCAGGGTTCTGGAGTCAGGCACCAAGCTGTCAAAGCCTAGGAAAAATTTCCAAACACGCTACAGTCCAGAAAAAGCCAAGTAGACTCTGAAGTCAGCAAACCAAGAGCACAAGTTCCAGAGCAGCAGGCCTACAGACAAGAACTGTTGGTTAGCCTGCTGTCTGCAGCAACAGGTGGACTTAAATGGGGAGCCTGGTTTCCCCAGCAACCACTGAGGAAGCCATAACAGTGGCAAGTTTATGAGCTAGGGTGGGGTTACTTATTAGAGCCATTGGTAGTCTTGACTAACTGGGCAGTTAGTCTGGATTGGGCTGCCTGAAAGTGTCCCTGACAGGGAGACAACAGAGAAGAGAAGAGAGGTGTGAGCTGGAGCTACAACTCAAACTGAGGGCCCCTCTACACATGCAGGTAAAGGTGCAATGGGATCTGATGTGCAATCCACACAATCACACCTCCTGCCATGCCACACATACGATGCCATTCTCCCAGTTGCAAGCCCCACAGCTGATAATGCTGTCACCACTGTTAGCTTAGTCAGCTGCAGGACTGGCAGTGGGTGGTGCAGTCCTCTGGCTGGGAGCCCCACAGCTGATGGGGCTCCCAGCCACAGGAGAACATTTAGCCACAGGTGCAATTAATGCCATGATTAGAACAAGCTACAAAGTTAATCCACAAAAAAAACCAAAAAACTTTGGTAACTTTGTAGTTTATTGCTTGTTTTGTCATGCCATTAATTGGTTGAACATATAACTGGGTCACAACTTAAGGCCCTGGTTAATCATGCCTTACATGTAATGTGTAGAGGGGACCTGAGACAAAGGGATACAAGACTGAGTAGGCCTAGGAAAGGGTTATCATTGGAGAGTCCTGAGTTGGTCCAGAGAAATGCTACATTTGGAGGAAGCCCAGATTAAGTACTGCAAGAAAAGCCCTGAGCTAGGAGGAACCCAGGTAGGACTTAGTGGGCCAGTTAGCATTTAATAGGGAAGGCAGGACCAAAGATGGTATGGAGGTATGGGATGGTTATAAAGGTGAAGTGGGAGGCTATATGTATAAGGATCCCACCCTGGGTGCCTATACACATGCAGGGGAGGCATTTCCAAAGGTTCTATAAACTTTTGAGCGCCTGTACACAGGACGATTTTCACCATTTAAAGCATTCTAGAGCCATCACTTAATATACAAATGCAGGGTAGGCATTTCTGAAGGTGCTTACTTAAAGTGCTTTTGGTACAGTACCTTAAAACTTAACAGATGTTCCATGGCTTAGTGCAGGTTTTGTGCCTTGCTGTAGTTCTGTAGAGTAGGAGATGGGGTGCCAGACAATGCAGCCTGAAGCCATGGAGAAGGCCCAGTTAAATACACATACAATAAAGGTGAACTAGGTAGGCTGAGATGTACTACCAGAGTTCATCTTACATTTAAAAACATATTGTGACAGGACCAAGGCCCAGGGGTGGCTCCTGCCCAGTTCTGCCTCCAACTTTGCCCTCCTTGATTTCTAACCCACCATGCCTTGCTCTTAATTAAGGTTGAATAAGGAAGGCTGCACACAGGCCTTAAAGTGAGCCTTAGTCCATTTAAATAGCATTGGGTCTCCCCCAGACCCCAATAGTCTTGATTTGGCCCTTAAGCTCTATGGGCCCTCTCAGCCTATCTGTGCCCGTACAGAGCTTTAAGGGTTAATTGCATATCTGTGCCCCTCCATGGCATCCATAGCCTTAAGGACCTATTTTGTGGCCCCGTCTTCCCTTACCCCACACCTCACAAGTGTTACTGGACCATCACGCTATTGTGGAGGTCTTGGCGATATCAGCCTCCTCCCATCTTGCTTTCACTGGGCCTTTCACCACAGACCCACAGTACTGGGTGTGGGTTCAAGCAAACTGGACTAGGCTCCAGCCCCCCTGACTGTGGGTCCTGGCAGTGGCCCCCTGGGCCTTTAGGCCCTCCAGGGCCCTGAAGCCACTCCTGAGGGGGGATTCTGTATCCAGTTCCCAGCTCCTCTCTGAGCTCCCGGACCCTCAGCATCTCCAGTTCTCTGAGCATGCCTTGAGTGAGGTCTCAGCAGGGCTCAAGGCTAAACCACTGGTGCAACTTAAATAAAAAGTATCTTGACCCTCTGACATGCACCCCCAATCTCTCTCTGGGTTTAGCACAATACAAGGCCACTTGCCTGCATCACCAAGACTTTCTCCCTGCCCCAGGCAATTTCCCCTGTTCCCAGGCCAGCAGAGTTTCTTACCCAGTTTCACTATCTGTTCAAGAGCCCTACTGCCCTGCTGCCAGGAGCTCCTACCTGCAAGGTTCTCCAGGCTGACCTACCTGACCAACTCAGACACTGGGCCCAGCTCCCTTCCTGTCAGGTGAGTCCTTAATCAGCCCCCTTCAACACCTGCAAGCCACCTCTCAGGCTGTTTTCCCTCTGAAATAGACAGGCACACCCCTGTACCCTGTCATGCACATCAAAAAAGTTCTAATTAAGGTGACTTCCACCATTTTAAAAGCAGTAGTGTTGCCCATGTGCATTAAGAGACAGCTTTAGAACATTTTAAATAGCAAAAATCGTCTCATGTCTAAGCACCTGCTAAGTCCTGGTTGGTGGATGTGCCTCATCCTGAAGAGCAGGTTCTTCTCCCAGGGTTGTGACCACTGAAGGAACAGTAAAGTGTGGCAGGTGAAGGAGGTGAGGATTTTGGAGAGAGGTCCTTACTGAGGGAGGATATTGCTTCAATTGGAGGAGGTGCTGGTTCCTGCTTATAATGCAAAGAATCTCTTTTAACATTACTATAATTTATCCCCATATAAAATGGGTCCAAAAATCTCAAGAGTGATTTCTGTAATAGTTTGCTTATTGTGATAGTGCTTGGAAGTCACATTGTTGTAAGCACCTAATAAACACAGAAGCTTGCAAACCTAGTATACAGCAAGAGACAACAGGTAGATGCAGACAGTCAGGGAATGATGAGACAAAAATCAGTCAACATGACAACCAGAAATCTCCATCAATAAATGAGAGAAAGTTAGTGAAATGGCAGTTGCCCCTGGAAATTTTGGGCTTCCTGTTCAGCAGCTCCCATTGTGTGCACCTGAAAGGTGGTCACATTTTCATAAACGCTCAACACGTGGTAGTGACAATGGGAGTTTGTGGGAATACACCACTTGAAAATTTAGCCCCTTCATTTACCTATCAAGAGAGTAAATTAATTCTTTGAAGTTTAGCCATTCATACAAATCCAGATACAGGCATGCACACACACATACTTTCTATCATTTATATTATTTCCTATCTGAGTGATACAGAACTGTTTTTTGGAAAAGAATCCCTTAATATATGAATAAGTGACTGACAGATTTCTGTTTCAGTCTGCTTCTTCCACAGTCATGGTCAGATCTATTCTGGCATTAACTACCTGTTTATTATGTGCACTAATCTCATTTTTGCTTGTACAGTTCAAAAGGAAATCTAAAAAGAACCACAAAAAGTTTTATGATGGAATAAAGCCTCTGAGACAGCTTCCCCCTGGCCCTAATTTAAAATATAAAGTCCCTGAAGACTGTCTGCTACACAAGTCCATTTCAGAACATAGCTAAGAAAGCCCACTGCTCCTTTTAGGTACCACATGGCAATGAAGACCTGTCCTGCGGAGCAGCATTTGACATTTCAGAGGAGTCGCACGTGAAAATGACAAGGATAAATTCCAGATTCAATGCCCTTTGTAGGCAACTCTCAGGCAAATACTTCTTATCAAAAATCTGTCAAACTTCAATGTGAGGTTTAAGGTAATACATTAAGCATGCTGGGATGGAGTGTTTCTTCTTAGTATGTGCCTCCTAGAAAGGAGGTTCTATTTGTACAAGAGATAGAGCCCGGAGAAGTACAGGTTTAAAGGAGAAAAGAGGACTAGAGATTATTAACAGGCAGTTTTACTTCACATCTGTGCTGCAGATATTGAGGTAGACTAAAACGTGACACGGCCCACTCCCATTTCTCCCTAAATTTGGCATCTTAGATTTGAACAGGACATGAGTTAACTTCTTGGAAGCCATTGCAATGCACAGTACTGTCAGTCAGGTTGTCAGTTTTCTGACAGATTGTTGATATGGACACTTTAATCATGTAACCCGTTAGGCTTTCCTGCAAGTTTTCTACTCGTGCTCTCTTTTTACACTGGTTGCTGTGTAAAGTCCAGTTAAGATGGTTGCTCCTGCCTGAAGCACAGCCACAAGTAAAGTAGCCAAGCAAGAAAATTGTTTGTGTACTACAGAACTGTTCCTACATTTCTTAAGAAAAGAGAGATGGCTTTGAAAATCTTGAGGCTTTACAGAGAGTATTTCTGCACCTCTTTTTAGGACAGCCTACTAGCACATCCCCTCATCTAGCCCAAACCTGTTCCCACTATTATTGAAAGTCCCCTAGTTCATCTGATGGAAGAAATCAACTCTTTTCCTGAACTCAAGGGCCCAACATCAAATCTTTCCTGCCCCACCTTGGAATATGCTTTAGACTGAAAATACAATAAGTCTGACAAAAACAATAATACAACTTCCTGTACTTGAGTTCCAGCCCTGTTATACCTCATTTCCTGTCTCTACTGCCCACAAGTAGAGACAGGAACCAAGTACAAAATAAGAAAGGAGTAGTGAACAGACTGATTCCTAGAAGCTTCCTTCAAGCACAGCTCTTTTAGAATACAGTCTGCCCACTCTTTCTTTCTCCTATGCTTAGTATACAGCTGCAGCAAAGGTCACATCTAAATAGCAATATAGATATACCCACAGTGGTGATGAAAATCACAGTTTACACATTTCTTTCATTCACTGGAAGCTTCCACTTATTTATGGCTGAGAAAATTGTAGGGAAGATGGATTAGAAGATAGATTAACCTTACCCTCAGTTTTTATCACTCTGAATATGCCTTAATTGCTCTTGTCTCTAACTAAGTAAATATTCTGTATGATGCCTCTTGCATGAACTATGGTAATTGAGCAGTCTATTAAAGTTCTGGCTTTCATTCTTGGTTTTCTCTTGTCCTCTAGTGGTTATATGGACATGCACAGGTTTCCTTGAATACCTCTCTGATGGGGAAGTTGAGCCTTTTTGTTAAAGCAAGTCTGGTTTCTTACTAGGGTGTAGAATGTCGTCCTTTTCTAATAGTTTCTCCTTAATGATCCCTGTTGTTGAAAGTCTTGACTCTCGATAAATGACCAGTCACTGATAATTAAAACAATCATAAGCTGCCCCAAAGTCAAGTCTTCCAATTCACAGGACAGCAGGAGCTGTCACTGCTGTGAAGAATATGTATTCTCTTTAAGAGAGAGAATGCATTGCTCTATCGAACAGAGACAAAGCAGGGTTGCCAACACAAGAAATTTATTTTTACTCACAGTCTACATACTTTTTGCTGGAAACCAGATGTTTTTACTGACACATGTGTTTTGCATAATGCAAATAACAACCTTTCTACCAAACTCTGGATGGCAGTGACAGGGGCAAGCATCGAACTTAGGGGGTTTAACACCAGTCATAGTAAAAAAAATATTTGGCTGTCAATAAAAAGTTTGCAGATTGTAAGTTAAAAAAATGTATTGGGTTAGAAGCCCTGATGCTGACATCCCTGCCTGCACCCTGTACAGTGCTGCCTCTACCCCCCAGTGGAAATGTGACAAGCTTTTTCAGTGCCTGGGGTGATGATGGGGGGAAAAGCGGGGTGCTGACCAGTGAAGAGCAAGGGGGAGGGCTGGGCTAGGAGGGGAAGGGGAGGACTTCTAAGACTGACTAGGGGCTATGCAGGGCTGCCACTGCTGCCATGGAAAAGACTTCTGGGGGCAGGCGGCCATACTGGTGCCCAGTAGGGCTGTGCAAAATTTCACCGAGTGTTCCGTTTTGAAGCTATTTTGACGTGTTTCGAGCTCGAAACAGCAAAATCAAAATGAAACAAAAGGCACTGAAACAGCTTTGAAACGAAATGAGGGCACTCGAAAAAATTTCTAAAGTTTCAAACCATTTCAAGTTTCAGAGCAGCCCAGTGGTGGGAGGCATGGAAGATCCAGGGCTGTGCGCCAAGCGGCTCCGCAACTCCAAAGAGCTCAGTCCAGTGGGGAGTGCATCCCTGGCTCTCCCCACCTCCCACCAGCGGGCTGCGCTCCATGGGGCTGGCGGAGCTGATCGGAGCGCAGCGCCAACTCTGCCTGCCTCCCGCTGCGAGTCTATGCTCCGATCGGCTCTGCCAGCCCCGTGGAGCTCAGCCTGATGGTGGGAGGTGGGGAGAGCCAGAAC